GCTGTTCTTACTGTTTTATCAGCTGTTCTTACTGTTTTATCAGCTGTTCTTCCTGTTTTATCAGCTGTTCCTACAGTTTTATCAGCTGTTCCTACAGTTTTTGTTTTATTTTAAGCCTGTATCTGTATTTCTGTAAAGCACTTTGTGATTTTTATCTATGAAAAGTACTACAGTATATAAATAAAGCTTACTTACTTACCGGTACTTACAGACTTACAGACAGACTAGTACCACTGAAAACATAACTTCCTTGGCGGAGGTATTTAGGTTTACCAAATCGACCAATAACGCACATTCATAGTTGCGTCGTTCTAGTCTTTAAATCACATACTCAGAGCATTATAATCAATGTTTTTCCAATTATTCAAGAGTAAAAGCAAAGAGCAGATACTTAAATCATGTCTTAATACTGAGATAAATTTAAAGACTAACTGTCTTACCCGTATGAGCGCAAAGGAGCAAACTGACCGACCACAAACTGTCGAACTGCTTCCTTCACACATTTTAGAGCACATATGAATCAGTTCTTTGGGGTAACGTCTTGTTTTAAAACTGCTATGAAGTACAAACTATTAACTTCACACCGCAAGAACAAAAAATAAAGATTACTTACAGTCCTGTAGTTGTGTGAGAACTGCTGCTGCTTTTAGAAGGTGTGCTGTTGTGTGTGCGAACCCCTGATTCAGTAGTGTGTTTTGTGTTTGAGTGTGTAGTTTGTGTGGTGGGAGTCTGAAAGCTGTAGTCACTATTCAGTGTGTGGCATGCTGTTCACTGACCCAGAAATGGACACTCATCAGCTCCGCAGCTTTGGATGAATCAGCGGGGAGCTGCCATTGTGGGGAAAGAAGGCCGAGTAGTGGGGGGGGGGGGGGACAATGATCTGATGTGTCCCTCGTTTTTCACCTTCTGCACGTGTGGCGACTAACCTGCTGTTGCTTTATGTGTACAGCAAAGTACTTCTACTAACAGTTCAAATGTGTTCTTCACAGTTACTTAAGTAGGATTTTGTTCATCGGGCAGTGGCATGTTATCAGTGAGCCTAAAGAGAAGACTGGGTCGGGGCCTTGACCCAGAACCTCCTCTGACTGAGTGCACGAGTGACATGTGAGCGCTGTCATAGCTCATGTAATTTGGTTCTGTTGAGAGTCGTTTTGCACCAGACCAGATTTATGGTTTCCTCTTTATTTTTCTTCTAATTCTTACTAATCACACAAACAGAACAAACAAACAACTCTGTTCTTCTCTTCAGAATAAAATGTTCATTGTTTGTTACAGTGTTGTTGTTTTTTAATCTATAAGACCTGAGACAAACTGAACTGCCAATGCTCTCATTCTCTCTCTCTCTTTATTTATCTCTCTGTCTCTTTCTTTTCGTTATTTCATATTCAGCAACTTCGTACCCATGTGGGACTCTGAAGCAGAGCTTTGATGTTTTCAGCAACTGAAACACCATATTTGTGTTTTATCATGACGTGTTAGTTACTTTGTGTTCACACTTCACCCTGATGCGTTCAAGTCTGTTATGTTGATTTTTTGGGGGATTTGGGGGATTTGTTCATCATGGGTTTCATATGATATCCATACATGAACTCGTTTGTTCCCATTGCACTCCCAGTTATTTTCAGATAACCAGTGTTATTTTACATTTCCTAGGTTTTATCTCAATTCAGTTCCATTTCATTGTAGACCTAAGTGTAACACATAGTCACAGGAGTTAAACAAGCGCCCTTGCTTCTTGCCAGAGGGATGAAATGGTGGGAGATTTAGAGGGGCTTTTCCCAGGGAGACCTTTTCCTGCCGGCAGGTTTTATTTTTCATCTCCTCAGGAAGCGGTGGCAAGCGTCCTGTGAAATGACTGTTAACCATATTTTGTTATTCATTCATCACATAGTTGATGTAGCATCAATGGTTGCACCATTGTTGTTCATGTATTACTTTGTTGTTGTTTTTTTTTATATATAAATATCTTTAAAATTTGACACCAAATCCTGGTTTACAAAGTTGTACGTGAACCACATGCACTGGGCACTATAGACACATCATCAGCAGTAATATCCTCAAAATTAGCTGACTGATGCTTGATGCCAGCGTCCTGGAAGAAGCTGATATCCACACCATCACAGCCATCATAGCCCAACACCAGCGCCGATGGACAGGCCACATCATCCATATGCCAGATATCTGTCTGCCAAAACAAGTGCTTTACCTTGTCATTGGAAAGTGTGCTCCAGAAGATCAAAAGAAAAGTTATAAGGACAACATCAAGACAAACATCAAAAAATACCATACTGACCTTAAGAACTGGGAAGAAAGAGCAACCAACAGGGAGACCTGGAGATGGTCCTTGAAGCCATTGCACTATGTGATGGCGACCTCCATCGTGCCACAGCAGACGAGCGCAGACACCAGAGCCACCACCAAAAAGGCCCAAGCTCAGCTTTCCACTCATCCACTGCTCAAAAATATGCAGCTCCAGAATCAGCCTTTTCGCTCACCTGAAGATCCACAAGGACCAAGACAAAAGATACTCCTCAACACTGAGTGACCACCGATGGATGACATCTGTCACCCACTGTCCCTCCTCTGGACATGTCCAAACCATTCCAGTCTGGCCTCTCTAACTTTATCTCCCAGTTGTTCAACCTGTGCTGTACCTCTGATGATCTCATTCCTAATCCTTGTCACTCCTGAGGAGAACCTCAACATCTTCATTTCTGCCACTTCCAGTTCTTTCTCCTGTCTTTTTGTCAATGCCACCTTCTCTAGACATAGCTGGTCTCACTACTCTTACTGTGACCCTTTCATTTGACCTTTGCTGACACTTTTGTCACAAATCAGACCTGTAACTTTCCTCCATCCACCCCATCCTGCATGGACTCTCTTCTTCACCTTTTTTTTTTTACCTGTTTTCCCGCACAATCGACCCTAATAGGCCTAGGGTCAGACTGTCAGTAGGCCATACCCTACTTGAAGTCCTACACCTTTGTGACCTCTGCTCCTTGTAGTCTCATTGTTCCACCTATGCCATCTTGCTACAGCTGAATTTTACTCCTCTTGTAAGCATACAAGACGGGTATCGCCCGGGTTTTGAACTGTTTGACTTGTTACCTTCAGGGAAACGCTACAGGTGCATCAGAACACGAACAAACAGATTCAAGAACAGTTTTTTCCCGAAAGCCATCACTACACTGAACTCACACATGCACTGATTTAATAATCTAACCTCCCAAACACCTGGACTTCTACTGTGCAATACTACTGACATTTCATACTCTCAGTCACCTTAACTACCTCACTAATATCCATAATGTGCAATACAATTGTGTAATACTTGTATTTTTTACTTTCATTATTATATCTATATTGCGTTACATTTTTTATATTTTTAGTGTGTGTTTAATGTGTGTTTTCTTAAGGCGTGTTTTTGCACTGGAAAAAGGAGTGGCTCTTAATTTCATTGTACTGCGTATAAAGACAATAAAGGCATTCTGATTCTGATACCTCCACCTCTGTTCTCTGCTTTTGCATCAGGCGTCCCTTAAAATAATAAATCCTCCAAATATTATGGCTTTAATGTTTTGGGTGTTGCGTGTATATAGAATAAGAATAGACCAATGGTTTGCAATAAAAACACTTTAAACGAAACTGGACTGTTAATGTTAAACTCCTGGTTGAACGGTGAGCCAGTCCACACGGTTGTGTGACGTCACAAATACGCGACTCAGCCCCACAGGGCGACCTGCTGAAGTTTAGACTTAACTCGCTAAGGTAGAGTAATTCTCTAATCCTGGAATGGGTACTCCTTATCACACCATCATTGTAGACATTTTTAATTTAACGTGAGCATATTTACCACCGCCGTTAAAACGGAAATAACGTTAGCGCCCAGGCTAAAGAGTTAGCCGCGGAGCTAACAGTTGTTTGGGTTCAGGTTTGCTCTCCTCCGCTTTAATACTTTTAAACTGTTCTTATTTTAAAACAGTGACCCCCTTTACGTGTCAGTGAACTTCACATGTAAAATTAAAACAGCAGCTGTAGCACATTCGTGAAACACGACTTTAATGTGGTGGCTTTCCTACCGTTTATAGTTGTTTTACAGTCTTTTGTGTAAAAAGTTTTTAATCCAGACCTTAACAGACGAGTACATTTCGTTTCTGTAATTACTTGACAGAACAAGAACAGTGTTGTTAAATAAAGTTTAAATCACAAGATGTTACATTATTATTTTTTTGTCTCAAATCTACTAATCAACACATCTTCAACAGGTTTATTTTACTCGCTTAAATTTCAAAGTCTGGAATAAAAACTTATTTATTCTGATTATTATAAACCAAACCATTTTCAGAACTGCTTTCAATACTTTGATTACACAAATTAGGTTTAAAAATTAAAGTTATTGAAACCTAGCAGGCTGCAGCTTGACATGTTTTTTTAAGTATGTAAAGGAAACCCTTTGTATATTTTGAAAAACTTTTTTTTTTTTTACCTTTATTATTTTTGTGTGTACTTTAGCACCACACCTAGTTTCATTGGTTTTATTGGCTCACTTGCTGCTGTGACATTTTCTTTTTATGGTTACATAATGCAGGCGTTACTAAACTTAAATTTGACCATTTTATGAATAGTCGAGGTTAAAGAAGTCTTTATCAGAGCCGTGAACTCTGAATTCAAACATATTTGGCTGAAACGTCAGAGTTTTGTAAAGGTATGGAGAATTGAAACAATTGTTTGTTTGGTGAAGGATGGCCAGGCGGTGGTCAGAGGGCCACGCCACGTCTGTCCTGTGTGTCGGTGCATCTTCAGGTCCAGATGGTCTCCTGGCTTCAGGTGCTGAGGGTGGAGAGCTGACGGTGTGGGGTCAGGATGGCTCCGTCGTAGGCCGTCACCTTCTCCCTGGAGGAGAGGACGTCACCGGCGTGGCGTTCACACCTGCAGGTCCGACCCAGCTGTTTGTGTCACACGGAGACGCAGTGAGCGTGCTTGACCCCAGGAACCTGAAGGGCCCGGTGGAGGATTTTCAGGGTGCCGGGGAGGAGGAGATTAACGCTTTAGCGCTGAACGAGACCGGCTCAGCCCTGGCAGTGGCTGACGACTCCGGGGCCATGCGGATACTCGAGATTCCTGGTGGGAAAGTGTGCAGGACGCTGCGCAGACACACCAACATCTGCTCCTCCGTGGCGTTCCGGCCCCACAGACCCAACAACGTTGTGTCTGTTGGACTGGACATGCAGGTGAGGAGGACAGAGAACTTTTTGTAAATTGGCTCCTGCTGCACTGAGACATCCATCGCTCCTTTGTCATTTCAGGTGATGCTGTGGAGTCTGCAGAAAACCTGCCCATTGTGGACTGTCAACCTCCAGGATGCGACAGAAGAAGAAACCCATGAGCAACGCCCAGGCCAGCTTTTCAACCCGCCTCTGGCCCACTGTGCCTCTGTGTCCAGCTGTGGAAACATATTAGGCTGTGCAGCAGAGGACGGACGGGTGCACCTGATGCGGATCGGCAGCGGCTCCAAACTGGAACAACATGGAGTCGTCAAGGCGCACAGTCAGGGGGCCTCACAAGCCCATTTCATTAGTTTCCTTCCCCACCCCTACTGGCTGGTCTCAGGAGGAAACGACAGCCACGTGGCTCTGTGGGACCTCAGTAAGCACCCCGTGGTGGCTCCGGAGGGCAAAATCCAGGCGCCTCAGCATCGAAAAGGGAAGAGCAAAGGGAAGAGAAAAGAGCAGGATAAATCAAAGGAGAAAGAAGAGACTGCGGAGGAAGAGGAAGCAGCTGTCGAGGACAAATCTGGACCCAAACTGAGCATCAATCATGGAGACAAGGTGAACTGGTTGTGTCCCGTGGTGCTGAAAGGAGAACAGAGTGTGGTAGTTGCAGATCAGAGCACCAGTTTAACCATCTACCCTCTGCCTCAAACATGAATGCACCATTTTCTTTGGACTTGTTTTGAGCAACTTTTCTCTGAGCCTGAAACTCTTCAGTGTGTTGTTTGAGATGGACTCGCCCCGATTAAAATCCACTGGTTTTACAGAAAGACAAGCATCTCGTGAATGTGATCCGTCTTGAGAATTCACACTATATTTAACCCAAAAAGACTCAACCATTTTGCATGTGTGGTCTTTTTAAAGTGACATCTTTTGAAATCAACTTTTGGTCCGACGCTAGATTAATTACATGCGTCTGAACGGTTTTGTAGTCTGTAAAAACGACCACATCTGACAAAAGAAACATGCTTTTAATGTTCAACTGAGTCTACAGCCCTTTTTCTAGTGACATAAAACATCTCAATCCGCACCAGATGACAAACGCTGACTCAGCAACAAATAAAGATCCGCTTCGACACATCTGAAAATAGTGAGACGAGGCAACACGCAGGACCTCACCTCCAGGGAACAATGGTGCTTCAAAAAGAAACAAAAACCCAAAATATAAAACAGCATGTTGATGACTCGAGTGAAATGAATGGGGATTTGTGTGTGTGTTAAATAAATCCTAAATCATTACAGGCTTGTTGGTCTTTTACAACTCGACACATTCTTTTCAAAAGCACTAAATTCAAACAAATTTCAGTCTGGAAACAACTAAATGTGTTTCTGAACAAACACCAGAACAAACAACAGAAACGAGGCACACGGAACACGATCCAAGTTCATAAAAGAAAGTAAATTCTTGCTTATTTCACACGTGGTTCTTTGACGCCAACAAGCTCAAAATAAATCTGGTGAAACTATTTTTCGTAAACTTCCTGCTAGATCATTCCTAAACAAAGCTTTCAGTTTCAAACTGAACAAAGTGACGTTTTCTCAGCGCTGCAGAGGAACCGATAGCAGGCCTCTTGTCCTTAATTTCCACAGTAATCAAATCATTTAAGCACGTGTGACCGAATGTTTTCCATCGTTAACCCTTTGATGCTCGGGTTCCCATTTAAATGGAGTTAACGCAGCGATCCATCACCCCTCAGTTGATTACTGAGATGATGATCTGAGTCGCTCTCTGCCTCTTACAAAAGCACTGATTGTGCTGAGCAGACGATTTTTTTTTTTTTTTTTTTACAGTTTAGCCAGGCTCTTCTGCAGACTCTCGATGTCCGCCTCCACTTCTTCGCCCTTGCTGCCGCGAGCGCTGCACTCCAGGAACTCCACCTTCATGGGCAGCTGGCTGAAATTGAAGTCCTTCCCTTTTTTCCCCAGATACACGCTGCCGCCCACGGAGCCGTCCTGAGCGCTCAGTGCTGCGGAGTGAGTCACTCTCAAGGTGTTTCTGTGAAGGGAGAAACAAAATTATACTGACGTCTGTTTACAAACTCTCATAGTTAAAAGCTGACCAAAATTCAATCTATGGATTTGCGCTCACACAGCAAGAACATTTTGAGATTTACTTACAGCTCTTTTTCCAGCTGCTGTTGAATCAGTTTAGCAGATTTTGCCATGGCGATGTCTGTCAAAATAAAAGCTCAGTAAATAATAGCAAACGTGTTACAGATAGTTTTAAATAAACACTGTCGTACAAGGAGGTGTTTTTAACACAGTAAAAGTTGTTTCACCTTGTTTGTTGCATGCCACCAGAAGAGTTGGAGCATTTTTGGAGATCACCGCATCCGTCAACAACATGTACAGAAACTCTGCAACGTCTCGCACCTCCTTCTGGAAAATGGCGCTGTCCACTACAAACACGATAGACCTGGACAGACAAGAGAAAGGTTGTTCAGGTGATCAGGAGAACGATCGAACACGTCAAACATAAAAACACACCTGTACACAAAAAGGTTGGCCCAATCTCACCTGGCTGCAGACTTGAACTTCTCCAAATACTGAGAGCGGAGGCTGTCATGTCCTGGCAGGTCTATCAGGGTCCAGGTGCTGGCCTGAAAACCAAGACAAGCCTCCCAGTCAGCGTCAAATTATTAATGTGAATCCAAGCTGCAACATAATAATGACTAACTCTGTCGTTTTTAGCTTTGTACGGAGCACTGTTGTCAGTGATGGATGTCAGCGTCCGTTTGAACTTCCCTGAGAGCAGCTGCAAAAACACAACAAGGAGCATTTCTTTTAAAAGTTTTAAAAAAAGCAACAACATGCTTTTAGCGCCCATGAAACAACAGCTGCATGAAACTTACCCTGATGAAGAGAAGGGTTTTCCCAGAGTCACACAGTCCCACCAACAGCACAGCACTCCGGACAGTTTTACCGGTGAGAAAGTACTTTAAAAACACTAAAAACAAAAACGGAAATACTAGTCCGCTATAAACACTGTAGTTTATACGCAGAAACAAGAATATGACTCCGTGCTGTGCAGCTGGGAACAGTTCACGTTAGCTTTAGCATAGCTAACTTGTTAATTTAAAATAGAAAATTAAATACCAACTATAAGTGCTTTGCTAAGAAAACCCGCTTGTCCGATAGTTTAAATTACCGCTGCTAAGCTACACGCTACATCTAGCTAAATTAAATGTTGAGCACAGCTTGCTAGGCTACATGCTAGGCATAGCCTGCTAGGCTAACGTGTGCAGTGACTTCTTACCGCAGGTGATGACGACCACCGCCAAGGCTACGATAACCCCGATAAGAATGACGGGGTCTTGGGCTTCAAGTTGCTGACGAATAGAGTCCAGGTATGGCTCAAATGGGTTTTCTGTCATCTCCTGGTCCGCTTTTTGTCCCATGTTTCTTTTGGTGCACCGTCCGTTCTAAACTACTTTGAATTGGACACGTCGCCTTCCTCCGTGTTCCTCCAGCAGCCTGTAGGGGGCCGGAGTGGACAGCAGGTGGCGCTGTCGGGCTGCATGTGCAGCCAGGACCAGCAGAACAAGAGATTCATCACGTTTATGTAAAGTTCATGCGAAGAACAAAATGGTGTAAAAGCCACAATAACGTGTGAACATCTTTATTACCTTAGTAAAATTATCTCACAGAACAAAAATATAAGAAACAGTCAAAATTATGACACGTCATTTTTTTTCCATCAACCAAGGATAATATCCTTGAATTTTTTTTATTTTTTATGTTGAAACGTTGTGTGACCAAATATTTTGAACACTTAATTTGATTTGAGGTTCCCAAATGTTTTTGTTTTTTTTTTAAACGTGGAATCTCCTGTTCATCTGAAGAGCATATCTTTAGAGCATTAACGTGAAAAGAAATATTTCCATCCAGGTAAACTTCATATGTTGTCATCATGTCAACATGTTACCATGTTCAGTTTTAACTGAGCATTCTTGTTTCCTGAATAAAGTATGGGCTAATAAATATAAAGTTCTGCAAGAGAGAAAAGGAAGCCACCCCCATATATTCACAATATAAACTACTCCTTAAATTCTTATTTTTGGGTGATAAACTTTTCATTTAAAGCAAATCATTATTTACCCTCCAAAATAATTTATTACATTTAACTGTGCTCTACTTCCTGTTAGATTTATTCCAAAGTAGATAAAGGTCCAGCATTTTGATGAAACGAGAGAAGAAACTAAGACTTCTCCAACCAGATGCACTTTTACGCACGCCTCCAGCCCTCGCAGGCATTTGGCGCGCGCTTTTTACGCACGCTGGTTATTTGATTCCTCGGGTCTGAGCGCGGAGTCCAAACCCCGAGACCTCCTGGAGGACGGGTCTTTGTGTGTCATTCAAGCCGGGCTCTTCATGGGGGGAGGGGGGCATCTTGTTTCTGGTCGGAATAAGAAATGACAAACTCCAACTGACGGCTCCAGCGCGCTTTGCTCAGAGAGTTTCCTTCCTCAGTAGTTCTCTTCCAATCGAAGACTTCCTTCATCTGTCTTTATTTGGAGCATCTCTCTCAGGGGATTCATTCAAACAGGCAGGATGGCTTCGTGTTACCTCCACGCGCTGTGCATGTGGATAAGTTTAGTGTCTCCCTCGCTTGGAACTGGGTTTGTTTATCACTTTCCAGGCATCACTGTGCAGCGGCATCACACGGGTCCGCCGGGCTCAGGCTCCAGAAACCAGCTGAGGTTAAACAAAATGAACCTTTTTACAGATTTATGCACATATGGACTTTGTTGCTGTGGAGGGAAACTTTTTTTTTTTTGCACAACTTAGACGGTTGACTAGCAAGGATTACATCTTTTTATTCTGCATTTTTCAGGAACTGGTGTCAGCACACTGTCTCCAGGACAGTACCCTGTAAGGTCCACAATGGGACAGAAACCTCAGTACAGAGAGTGCTGGGCTGCCGATGGCCGGGACCATGTGCCAAAGTGATCAGGTATCTTCACACATCTCCTCCTTCAACTCTTTTAGGTTCTTGAAGCTGCTGTTTACACTCAGTCATGGGAAGTCCTGCACAAACCCAGTAGATTTAGTACTGATCAAAGTGCTGCAGATAAACAGTCAGGAACCATTTCCATCCACTCAAGTGTCGATCAGCTCTCAAAGGTTCTGGAAGAAAACTTCTGCCACTGGAATAAACTAAAACATCATGATTCAAAAATAACATCTCACAACTATGAAATAATTATGATACAGTACCTCATGATTATTTTATATTTATAATAATATACTAATTCACTATACCTTACTATCTCATGATTATGAGACAGTATTTTATAATGTACCAATACTAATAGTATACAAGTTTACAAAGCTATACTAAAAAATTCAATTCAGTTTATTTATGTAGCACCAAATCACAACAAAGTTGTCTCAGGGCACTTTCCAGAAACATTCACGTACATAAAAGCCAATTAGTAAAGTTCTCTATCTAAGGAATCCAGCAGACAAGTTGAATCTTGGCTTCGTCGCAGTCTCCCATCCTGAGCAAGCACAGTGGCAACAGTGGAAATAAAAAACTCCCTTTTAAAAGGAAGAAACCTCCAGCAGAACCAGCTCAAGTGGCCATCTGCTTTGACCGGCTGGTTGAGAGGACAGGAAGGAGAGACAGACGAACATAGAATGGTAGGTCCAGGTAAAGGTCCAGGTGTATCTGAAAGACAAAAAAAAAAAACACGTTAAGGATAGAAAAAATAATTACAAATACAAAACAGGTTGAGCAGAGTAAGTAAAGACAGTAGCAGAGTGAAAAGTGTGGTCAGTTTGTCCTCCAGCATTCTAAGCCTATAGCAGCATAACTAAAGGACAGCTCAGGAAACCCAAGCTGACCCTAACTATTGGATTTAGCAAAAAGTAAAATCTTAAGCCCAGTTTTGAAACTGGATAATGTGTCAGCCTCACGGACAGAGATTCGAAGTTGGTTCCACAAGAGAGGAGCCTGATAACTGAAGGATCTGCCTCCCATTCTGGTTTTGAAAACTCTAGGAACCACAAGTAAACCTGCAGTCAGAGAGCGAAGTGCTCTGTTAGGAAAATATGGAACAATAAGATCTGTAATATAAGGTGGAGCTAGGTTGTTGAGAGCTTTGTAGGTTAGAAGTAAGATTTTGAATTCTATTCTGGATTTGACAGGGAGCCAATGAAGAGAAACTAAAACTGGAGAGATATGATCTCTCCCACTAACTCCAGTTAAGACTCTGGCAGCAGCATTTTGGATCAACTGAAGACGTTTTAAAGAAGTATTTTGACATGTAAATAATAAACCAAATACTGTATACTATTACTAAGCCATACTAAATACTGTATACTATCTCATAATTATGAGATTTTATGCCACAATTATAAAATAATGTTATAAATATAGTTTACAATACTAATTATATACTATACCATACTATACAAGTTTACATATTAGCAAACAAGTTTGTCAAACTATACTGCATTATACTTTACAATACTATGCTACATTATACTATACTTTTTTCTGTATTACTTTACTATTGCTAATAGTATAACACTATATTATACTACACTATACAGGTTTACTATGCCAATGGCATACAAGTTTACCAAACTATACTCCACCATACTATACAGTACTATACTACACTGTGCTATGCAAATTCTGTATTGTTGTACTCTTACTAAAAGTACACCAGTTTGCTGTACTATACTATACCATTCTATACTATATTATACTATACTACATTCTGCTCTACAAATTCTGTATTACTGTACTATTACTGACAGTATACCAGTTTACTATACTGTACTTTACTATACTACAGTGTATTGTGCTATACAAATTCTTTATTACTGTACTCTAACAGTATACCACTATACTATACTATACTATACTATACTATACTATACTATACTATACATGATTTACCATTCATACTTTACTAAATATTCTATGCAATAAAATATTATCTGTAGTACTAGTATTTTCACAGCACTGTTTCTGAACAAACTGTGTATATTTGTTTGGTTTTGTTAACGGTTCAGTAGATGTGAATCAAAAATCAAGACAAAATAAAAGAAAAACTTTTTAGAATAACAGTATAACCATCTAAATAATGTAGTTTACTAACAACAACTATGAGATGCTATCATAAAATAGCACAATCAGATGCTTTTGAGATTCTAAGTCGTGATTCTGAGACGCTAAGTCAATATTTGGACTTACAGGATCAGTTTTTATCAGAGTAGATTTGATTTGTAGGAGCTTTATTTAACCAGGTGAGTCAGTGGACTTCTACTGATTGCCTTCATTTGATGTGGTAATTGTAATATAATGGTTAAAAAAAAGAAAAAAAAAGTCAAAAAGCTCTATTAGACTTTAAAAAAAGGACTTTTTTTTCCAACCAAAGCAATATAAATGCAAATGTTATTTGGTAGCGTTTTAGGATCAGCTTAATACAGAAGGTTGTACAAAATGAAAATATATTAACTGCAACAGTTCAACTAAATCTCATGATCTTTGCGTCTTGTGTTTCCTCCCTTTTCTCAATTTCCTTCTCTCTTTTTGTGCATTGCGACAGAAAGTTGAAGCACTTTGATCATCTCTGTGCCTTTTCTGTTTCTGTAAGGCTGCACGTTAACAACATCCTTTCCCCTTTTGTTTGTTTTCCAGCTACAGGACTGTCATTAAGCCGTTGTTCAAGATCACCTACAAGCAGGTTACCACACTGGAGTGGAGATGCTGCCCTGGATTTGTGGGAGAAGAATGTCGTGAAGGTACGTTTAAAAACGGTCACATTCTGCCGGGAGTTACCAGAGAGCAGTGTTCTCAAGGGCTGTTTGTTTTAATCAAACACATCTGGTTTTTTTAGCAGAACCAGGCAGCTTTACCCACATCAGTGCCCTGTTTTCATGTTTGCTGGTGTGTATGTGGATAGTTTGCTAATCACACTGCTGTGTATTGTGGAGCCTTTTGATATGGTTGTAAAGTCGGGTTGAATAAAGACAGAAAGTCTGTGTTTGATTACTTGATGGAAACTTTAGAACGCAGTTGAAAAGGATTTTGTGTTCTGTGGTTTGGTACCTTTATTCATTTCGGAGTCTGGGAGGAGGATTACAATCACAGTGTCCTCCTTTCATTGCGCGAACACTCGCATCACTCTTTTACAGCACGGAGTCCGCTTTGCCTGCCTCCCTGAACTTCTTCATGGCTAAAACAGCCCGAAAGATGAATGAAAAATAGCCCGGGGGGAACGTTCAGAAGGGCGGCTTGTAAAGTGGACGGCTTCTCGGCAGAGGGCCGCTCTGCCCCTGGACACCGCAGACCGCAGACTCTGAGCTCAAAAAATACCCGAAGGGTCAAGCCACAACGGTCAGCCTGAGGAAAATGAGCTGGAGTTGTGGCTGGAGTTTCAAGGCAAGGCTGCACATTTTATATGTTTTAAACATCACAGAGGCTTGTAAAGAGTCTGACTGGAGTTATTTAAAATGCACAGTTATATGAACTGTTCCCGTTAAACTTAATTTGTACAGACTATAGCTTGGAGCTGGGCAAAAAGCACTGGCTTATAGTCTAATTGGTCCAACAATATGGTCATATTTACTGTATTCATTGTTACATTAGATGGAAAAGATTTACCGCAAAAGCACATTTTAAAACGCATGAAGCAAACATTACACAGCAATTAGAAGCCGTTATTTTCCTGGTTCTGGCTATTATTCTGCTCAAAGGCAGCTGCATTGCCTGGTGCCAGAGATTTGGGTTCATTTGACACCAAGTTGCTTTAGGAGGGCGAAGAAGTAATCAGCAGTTTATTTAATATTAGCTAAAATGTGTTTGTGCTTTCTCGTGTCAGAGCAGTGGGGTAATCATCTCCACGTGGAGACACGGTGGGTCGGGTTGGACTCGGGGAGAACTTAAAGACAGACCGATGTCAGAGACAGTACATCACGCCGAGGAGTGGAGGGAGGAAGCTGAGGAAGTTGGAGCAGATTTAGGAACAAGGTGAAGAGAAGTGTCAAGTGTTTTTTTCTGTATCACAAGGTTCCAGCTGCTGTAATCTGTCCAGATTAATGAGTCTGACACTTCTCCACCAGCTCTTTGAACCATAGGTGACCACCAGGCCATGGCTTAAATAACAAAGTTATTTAATGCAGTAAATGTTTCTGACTCCTTCACAGTTTTTCTCAATTTTTGCATATGTTGCAATGCAAAAGTTTGAGGCCAAATCTACTTTTTCTAAATTTTGCTTCTAATAATAGAACTTTCTCCTAATTTTTTTTAAGTGATCACATAGTTTGCCAGGTTTTCTGGAGGTCTTTCACAGTTTATGTTTGGACTTTGGCTGATTTTTCTTTTTAAATTTTTTTTTACTGATTTTCACTAGCCCTTGTTCCTGATGACAGAAAATATTGTGCTGTGTGTGGTCAAAAGGATGAGGTAGGCAAATGGAGGACAAAATAAACGTCAGCCCTAAAAAATACTATCGAAAGCAGGTGAACAGTATCTGACCATTATGCCTTTAAGAAACAAGAAAAAAAAATACCGCAAATCTTTAACAAGTACTGAGAAGTTTCACTTGATTATTTGTACTACTGTATGCCAAGTTATCAGCTGAGAGCACCTAGTTGGCGCTTAAATAAAATTTTGTGTCTGCTGCTAAACTGTTAGTTTTTATATTTTTTTGTGAATCCAACTAAAATTTTGATAAAATGTAACGGGCTGTTAGTAAAAAATAAACTTTAACAAAGCTGCTAGTTTTGTTTTTGCTTTTTACCTAGAAAAAACTTTTAGTAACTTGCTACCTAGTTAGCAAGTTACTAGCTAAATATCTAGCTAGCATAGCTTTTTGTTTCATTTTTGTTACTAGTAAAAAGCTTCTAATAACTTGCTACTAGAGCTGCTTTCGGGCCCAATAAATCCGACCTGACCCGGCCCCAGCCCGTAGCCATCATTTCTGAACCCCACCCAACCTGACAAATTAACAGTTATTACAGGTCTGAACCAGAAAAAACCCCTGACATTTTTAATTAAGCTTTATTAACAATCGGCGGACGTACGTGGCTGAATAAAGGGGGCAGAAGATCGGAGCTGAGGGGGTGTTTGTCCTTTCATGGCCGTCAAAGTGCATTAAATCCCTGCTTCAACCTGCATTCTGCATTATTCAGACACGGACCCTGCTCTGACATGTCTGCATTGTGACCCACCTGTTTGGGTCGTCGGCCGAGCGCGTCTGCTGAGTGCAGCGGCTGAACGTCCATTTGGGCGATGGATTGCTTTCAGGCAGTATAGTCCCATTTGAAGCTTAACTGAAATTTATTTTACCTCTTTGAAGGCCGGTCAGCTCACGATCAAATGGCCACGTGCGGCTGGGGATTGTATGGCAAGCCACGTTGCCATATAATTGGATAGAATGTCAAGCCATATTTCCATATAATTGGATCGCGGCTGATCTGCTGACACAATCAAAAGCCCGCCACCGACCTGGTCTGCCCATCCAGCACATTGTTATGGCCCGGATTGGCCCAAATTCAGGTCGGGCTGGGCTTTGGACCCGGATTAGAAATGACAGCTCTACTTGCTACTTAGCTAGCTACTTAGCTAGCAAGGCACTAATTAAGTAGCTAGCTAGCATAGCTTTTTGTAACATTTAATTTTTAATTTGTTACTAGCAGGGCTTAATTTGTAAACGGATTTATGCTGGAACGCAAAGTCTGGGTGGGCTGGCGGGGTTGGGGTGGGGGGATCCTCCCCCAGAAATTTTGAATAAAGTAGATGAGATTTTCCTGCATTTTGTTGTATCTTAACGAGTCGTTAAACTTCTATGTTTACCTAAATTTGTAAACACTCTGCTTCTGTCAAGCATCCTAACACCCCCCCCCCCTCACACACACACACACACTTTCTTGACGGTTCCGAGCCAACACTGTCCCCGCTCGTTGTCCGACTCAACATGTGAAACCTCCAGGCGCCTCCTCCGTCTGTTCATTGCGGCTGCCTGTGGGCTCCTGCCTGGTTAGCTGGGCAACCACCCCCACCACTCTTTTAGGGGCGGAGATTTTTTTAAGGGTAGAAGAGGAATTGCTACAAGGGGCAGCTCGTATGCTCGTAAGTGGCTGTTGTGTTTAAAATGAGTGTTTATGTAATTATTTTTAGTTCTTTATCCAATATAAGTTTTATTCGTTCAAGGCAGTCATATTTGTTCGTAACTTCATTATTAGTAAGCCTGAGAGTTACCGGATCCAAGCAAACAGTTATTGGAATGCACCCTGTCAAAGTAAGAGCGTTCCCGGACCCTGTTCCAGCAGGATCCGGCTCAAATTAAGCCCTGGTTACTAGTAAAAAGCTTCTAGTATATGGCTACCTGGCTAGCAAGTCAGTAGCTAGTTACAAGCTAATAACTCAGTAGCTGTGGGACTAGATACTGTAGGAACATGTTTCCCTAAAACAAAAATTTGAGAAACAGTTCCAGGAGCAAGTGCTGTGATAGGCTGCTGGTAACAAAGTGCTCAAAGATTTGAAATAAAACTGGTTCTTTGCTGTTTCCTGAGATTTGTTGACACCAAACTGGTTCATCCTTTGAGTTCAAAGAGTCTTTTTACGTGAATGATTTCATACTGTAGGTCAAAGATAAGTCACTTAAGCTTGCCTTTTAAAATTGTAGTGTACCTGACTGGAAATGAAAAGGAAGCCATTGTCCAAAATAAACAACTGAAAGACCTTTAGCTAGCATGAAAAACTATTTAAATGATTTCAAGACCGTTTAAATAATATGCATCTATTTTATTGTTGAGATTCAGTTCACAAACTTATTTTTTTGACATTTTCCTTTAGTAAATAGATAACAGTAACTTCTATTGGTACAGTGTCAAAGTCAAACCCCAAACCATGATAGTACCACTACCGTGTTTTACTGATTGGAAAACTTGACACTGGAGAGCTGTATTTTTCTTCTTTAAACATGATCGTTTAATTGAATTAAAATTAATGTAACTTGTCCACAAACGTTTTTTTAAACCCTTTTTGCTTGTTTACGTACAATTAGACATACAATTTAATATTTCCTGGAGAGAAGTGATTCTGTTTAGAGTTCATGTTGTTCAGATCGTTGTTGGAGAGTTTTAGTTGTTCTGGGTTTCCCTGGGTTCCTTTAGGACTTTGTAATCCTTACATTTCTTGCTCTTATGGTCAAACTTCACCCCCCGAGAGGCTAAAATGGTCTTGAATTTTTTCCAGCTGTTCACAATCTTTCTGACTGTTTGTAACCTTTTTCAGCTTGATAAGCATCAGCGTTTTTTTTTCTCATACTGAACGCCTCAGAAATCTCATTTGTTCTGACTACAACACACCTCCACACACGTGTAGTGAAGCTCAAACTTGGATTTATTCCTTATCTTAAAAAAAAAGGCCCACTAACTCTCACCAGATTGTCATCCTAAAGACAAAAAAAACCACACCTTTTCTTTAAAATATATCTGTGATATTTTGTTCAAATGGGCTCTTTTTTTTTTTAGAATGTTGTCATTTTAGGTAATTTTTTATAGCAATATAAACAATGCTAAAGGGTTCATAAACTTTCAAACATCAGTATAATTACCACACCCCTCCCCCATCCCCAACTGGTTTCCATCTTGCTCGCTAAGCTCGACTATTCATCTTCTGGCTCTGGCTTTCTGCCTAACAGACAGGTATAAAAAATGCTATCAGTCTTCTCATATAAGTAAGCACATGAGCATATTTCACAAAACGCCTCAGCTCCCTTAAGTATAGGCGCCTA